TCACGAATTCGCCAGAAGCAGGTCCAAGACATTGGACAAAGGATGAGGTGAGCAAGAACAAGAACCCACACATAACCTGGGGGCTTCACTCCCCACCACCAAAATAACATAAATCTCAGTTCCTCACACACACACAACACAGATGCTGCTGGGGAAAGGAGAGTATAGAGGACAAACGACTCAGAAATAGTGGGCGCCATTCTGAAAGAGACTATTTTAAATTAAAACAAGCTGTTAAAACTTGAAGAGACAGATACCCTTTCATTGGCAAGTTTGAATTTTTTCCTGGTAACTAACAACTGAAAATCCATGGGGATCAATTTTAGAAAATAAATTTTATATATGCATCTGAGTTGTGTGCAAATTTCTAATTCTGCTAACCACTTGATGGTGAATATATTTGCATGTCATTGGTCTACTATTACATCACCTCAAATGGTCACATGATATTATAATTTAGAACTGTTTTTTTAAGCATGAGTTAAGAAATAAAAATACCTCTTTAAAGTATAAATTCATTTGTCCCTATATAAACTCAAAATCTTCTTAGTATCTGTCAGTCCTTGGTAAGTTATGCACTGCAAGTAGAAAGAGGACAAGTTTAGCTCCCAATTTTAAATTCTTCACCATTCAGATCTGAAGAGTACATTATACCCCCTCTAAGTTCACTTATACAGAGGTGAGCAAACATGCTTCCGTGTCGTCCTGTTACATCAGGATCATGGCTGTGAGAATCGACTCTGGTTTTACTACGAATTTTTGCTATCTTGTAGACTTTTACTCTGGGCCTTTTTAAAGTATTAAACAGAGGGTCCATCCCAGTGCCTTTTGGGTTTCTGTGTGTGTTTGTTCTATCTGCTCATTTGTTCATTTCTCTGATGAACATTAATTGAGTACCCACTGTGTTCTTACCCCTTGCCCTGAGACTTGCTCTTCTTATTTCTCATTATTAACCAAAAAAAGCCTCTTTAAGTAAGGGCTCTTCTCTCTTCTCTCCAAAGTTTATGTTGTGTGCATGGAAACCACATAACCAAACTTATTTAAAATGTACATAAAATAGGAGTTAATAAGCATTCAGTTGAGGGCCTGAGATGTTAAAAGTAGGCAGATGGTGGCTTAGTGGAAGGGAAGCATTTATGGATTTCAAAAAAGAGGCAGGCTGCACTATGTGGTTACTAAAGGTTTTCCGGTTTACTTTTTTGTCCTGTTTTGTGAGTGTGTATTGGAGATATGAGGAGAAGGATGATGGCTAGAGAAGGTCCGTGTCACGCTAGCACAGGGCCTGGAGCATGTGAAAGACTCCAAATACTGCCAGGTTAGTCCCTGAGAAAGTCTCTGATTAAATTCAGGAAGAATGATACAGCAAATTGGAAAACGCATCTCTATTTTCTTTGTAAGTACACTAATGTTATCTTGTGGCCTTGGAAGCGGGTTCTCCTGTGACTGTGGAGTCTAAATACAATAGAGTGTAAGTCTGAAGAGCATCACAGAAAGCTCTTTAATTTCTTTCTCCAACCCAAATGTTTTCCTGTAGAAATCTGTAAAACTGAACTTCCCTGCCCCACGATTAACACTGCGTTTTATTTTTCTTCCTTTCTTCCTTTCTCCTTCTGTTTTCTTATTAAAGGGAAGGGGGTGAGGAAGGGAAGAGTAAAATGCCCAGGCTCTTTAATTAGGGCTTAGATAGTGGAGAAAAATAATTGAAATATACATAAAATTAACCTGCGCTCTTAAAACTCTAGGTGTCACCATGGAGACCAGAGCATGAACTGTCTCCATGGAGACTTGAATGAATTTTTGGGCTTCAAATTATCATCATTTATTACCTGATGTCGATTTGGGCAATGAAGAGATGAGTTAAAATACATACATTAAAAATATAAGAAGTAGCCTCACATCAGAAAATTTATTAAGGGCAAATCTAGTTGTTCTGGTTCTTAGTATTCCGTTATTCCAATGAATGGGAAGATATCCCAAGAGATTTCCCCCAAACTCAAAATTTCTCATGAAATCATCTAATAACATAGTTCCATAAATGCTATAGGAAGGAACAGAGAAAAATAATTTCTAGAAAAGGCCTCTCTCACTCAAATGCATCAGTGTGATGCAGGTGATATGGCTGTGTCTATCACTCCAGCTGCAAGGAAGATATGGTGGCTAGGCAATGTCTAGTAATGAGCCAGAGATACTTTTAACAACCATTCTGGGCATATCACTTTATCAGGTCTCTTGTATATACAACTGTTTTATTATGTGAAGTCAGACAGACTTGTATTACCTGCAACATAAAGAGAAACACAGAAATCATACAAATGTTTAAACTCTATAAGCAGAGGTTAAATCAGAATTTTTCCCAGTTACATATTCTACTTCGCAAACCTAGAGGTACAGTCACTTAATTGATCAAAATACTCAGTTGAGAGGCCATTCGAATGGTATATCATAGATAGTAAGTATTCATCAGTTAAATAAAAATCGCTCATAAAAGATTAAAATTTAGTAAGAGTTTTAATATATAATAAGTCAATAGAAAACAAACAATTATGACCAGAATACATAAAAACAAAATAGTTGACCAGATTATTCATTTGGAAATGTATATAATTGAACTTTATGTAGTTTTTTTTTTTTTTTAAGACAGATCTTGGTGACTGGTTGGATATGGAAGGGAAGAAAGGATGCCAACGGTACAGCCCGCTCAAAGAAATACAAGTATTTCTCATTGTTTAGGTTGTTACGTCCTATAAAATTGTCACAAATAACTAGCAAATACTGAACCATTGCTCCTAGGAGAAATAAAAGAGTAGGTTCCTGTAGCTTCTGTTCACATTTTCATCAACCAATCAATATATAGCCCGGTTTTATGTATGTTTCTGTTTAAATATGTTATTTAATATCTTCTGCTGATTCATTCACATTGAAGTCACAGCCAACAGCACTGTAACTCGTAACTACTGAATGAAGCTTGTGTGACACATATTTTCTCCACAAGGCAGATCACAGCCTTCTTGTGCAGAACACTAGATAGCACTCCAGCAGTATAAGGGCTATATTAACAATGAAATCACCAACAAAAAGAATAAAAATGCTAAATAGATCATGGGGGGGAAACACTTGTTACAGTATGAGAGCTGAAATAAGAAGGCAGAGTTGTCACTTCATCTGATCTCAACTGGGAGTGTTGAGGGAGGTGTGAGGGTGAGGAGTGACTAAAAAACTTTGCCTCTCTGCACATATCCATAAATGACCAGTATTGACTTGGGGTTATAAATACATGTTAGCAAGCAGGCAAATTCACAAATACAGAATCTGCAAATAATGAGGATCAACTATAATCACAGACTCTAGAGAACTATTTCTATTTCCCTATGAGTTTGCTTCTTACTATGCCATTGCACTTCCCTATGAGGAAAATGTTCTCTTTTGTTCATCTATGGAGCTCCTATTCTTCCTCCTAAACCCTGCTCAGGAAACCATACACATACACAAACTTCCTCTCGATGCTACCTTTGCTTCTTATACTCATCTCTGTTTTGCACAGATCAAATTACACTGAATTTACTGGCATTCTCCTTTACAGATCTATGAAATTCCTTGAGGTTCATTACCATGTCTTAATACATGTACAACCTTTATTGTGCTTACTATGTGCCAGGCTTCACATACAATGCCATGTTTAATCTTACGATAATCCTCTCATCTCCATTTTACAGTTGCTGAAACAGAAGCCTAGAGCAGTTATGTGACTTGCCATATCACATGCTGCAGAACTGATATTCAATCCTAGAGTCCAAATGTTTAACCATTATATTATCCTAAAAAATTAATATTAGCCACCATACATTATTGACTGTGTACTATGTCCAGACATGCAGTTAAATGCTTTGGATAAATTAATTCATTGAGTCCACTTTATCTGTCTCTGTGTCTCCAACACATAGCAAAGTGCATGACACATGAATGTTTGTTGAATCGAATTTATTTCTTCCTGTTCCCAAACATTCTTTCTAAAACCAACACCATAAGAACTCTCTACATTTTCATCAATGACCAGAATAACTTTCTGTGTTAGACCACACTTCTCCCCCACCAAATTCCTTATCTCCTTCTCATGCATGTTCTTCTGTGATCTTGTTATTGACGTCCACGATGTCCAAAAGTCATGGTAGGGCAGAAGAGAGCAGAAACACTGCCCACTTGAAAAAGGTCTTTGTCTTCAACAGTAATTTCTAATAGCAATTTATATTATGACCTACATCTTTATAGAGTAACAAAGTCATGGAAAAGCTAAGTGTTTTGCTTGAGGTCTATGAGGTAACCCCTGTATGAGGATAAAAGAGGATTTTCTACTTCCCAATCTATCTAGCCTCTCATTTTGAGTTCAAAATAGGCACAGAGTCAGTTTCAGAGATGAGAAGTAAAAGTAGGGGGAGAGGGCTTGTAGGAAAGTGGGTAGGCTGTAGAAAGTTTGCAAGACAGAAACTGTAGGGTTCACATATATTACATAAATGAATGGGATCAAGGAGGATTTAGACAAATTAACTCATCTCCCTCCTGCTGTTCCCTAATGGACCCTTCCTTTTATGAGTTATCTCAGAAATGTGGTTTCCAGGCCTCTGCAAACACTCTCACCTCCATCCTCCATGAGGGTGCTCTATGACCCCTGGTGGACAGGTAGCTGGCTGTAGCAGGTCGCAGTGCATCTGGGGCGCTGCGCTTGGAGGCTTTCCTAGCTCTTCCTCACTCCCACCCTCTTTATCTCTCCTTTGAAGATCTTTCCCTTTTTTTTTTTCTCCCTTGTCTCCTCTCCCAGTTCTCTCACTTGTCTCATCTTTTTCTTTCTCACCTCTTCCTTTTTCCTTTCTCCACTCTTCTCTTCTTCTCCTTTCACTGTCTTCTCTGTTTATTCCATCCTCTCCACCTTACTCCCTATTACTCTCCTTTCCTCTCCTCCCCCATTCCTTCCCCCAGCAGCCGGGAACTGCAGAGAGCTCGCTCACCAAGAATACACCAACACGGGTTTCGAGTACTTCTTGTGATGGGAGCGGAGGCTGAGGGAGCCCTTGCGCTCCAGCAAGTCCGTGGGTCCGAGTTCAAACCAGTGTTGCCTACTCCTGCACCAGTCTGGGCAGGAGCTGTCAAAACCCTCCATCGAGGCCGGCCACATTCAGACCTCGGAGGATTTCCTTCTGAACCTATTCGGCTCCCCACGCCAACACTCACCAGGATTCGGCGTCTCTCGTCTCCTGAGCAACCTGGGGCGGGGTCAATGGAGGGGGCGGGGCCAGCAGAGGGGCGGATCCCTCAAACCTAACTGCCCGGGTTTCCAAGACAAATTAGAAACTACACTTCCCAGAATGCAACGAGGAGACCGACCCGCCTACAGAGAGGTTGGGAGGGACGTGCTCGGCCTCCAGGGATCTGTACTTCTTCGCCCGCCCACCAGCCTCATCCTCCCAGGGGCCGGCGGAATTAAGGGGGACCGGCGGGTCAGTTAAGGGCTAAGGGGACCAGAGCCCACAGCAGGTCTGCCCCCGTTGTCCTTGCAGAAGTTCTTTTTACCTTCCATCATCTGTTGCCACCACACCTCCTACATACAAGCATACACATTTAACCAAAAGGGAGCAAGAGAAGATCCTTCCAACCCCAAATGTGGATTTTCTGATGAGGAGGAACAGAATCTTTCAGCAAATGAGCCAAAAAACCTGGGGATGAAGAAGCCCTTACTGGTTCTGGTTTCAGCTACTTTCTCAACCTTTGTGAACACGAGTTTCTTCCTGAAAAAAAAAACAAAGTAGAGGATGGGACCGAGGAGGGGGCAAGGTAGATAATAAGAATCTGAGGTGCCTTCAGACTGTAACACTGAAAGACCCAACCTCCAGGTACAGCTCAAGGCTCCAGGGCATTCAGCAACCTGCGGGTGCTCATTTTCACATTTGACATTTTATGACAACACCTATTCATCACATAATTATGTTGTTGTTTAATATGCGACAAGGAGATTTCAAAAAGATTACCTCTGGCACTGCCTTCAAGAAATGATTGGACAGCTGCCTTGTAGAAGGAAGGCGGTTATTTCATCTTTGACTTTCCAAGAGAGGAATACTTTAACGCATCAGAATTCTCCTTCCCAACTGAGTGCATTAGTGGACTTCATCACAGCCATTCCTCTGACCTGGCTTAGTACGTGGCATCATTTCCAAGTGCTGAACGAACAAATGAATATTACATTTGAGTACTTTACATTTACCTGGACTTCCGTAAATTCCGGAAGTGTCTTACTTCATGAAGACCACAGGTACGCAAAAACTCAAACTTAAAAACACAAATTAAGAAACATTTCATGTTACAAATGGCTTCTATAGTTTGCAAAAGATTTATTATAGCACTCCTATAAATAATGAAGTACTCTTCTGGATCAGTTTTCACAAATTTGATTACACACAACTACTAAGTGCTTCTTTGTGGCCTGTGGTAGCCAGTGTGGGCGTCTGTGGTATGCTAAGGCCCCTACTTTACTGACAGCCACAGTTAAGCCATGTTATATAAAATAAATAGTCCACTGTCCCCAGCAAAGTGCTAGTACAGTACTGAGTACGATTTTAGACTTTTTCTTCTTGAAGAAATGAAAAATAAAAATAGAAATTAATTTCAAAAGGCTAAATAAGATTCAAGTTAAGCTCAATTCTGCCCAAAGCAAAGCATATTGCTGTCACTTCAAAAATATTGCCATCATTACTCTCATCTGTTATTTCTAATTTTATTTTTCTTACACTTTATTTTATTTTGCTTATATTTAAAGTGATGGCCACATAATATATTTGTGACTCAGATGTAAGGTTTCTGCATCCAATTTGACTCAGAGACAGAAGCTGCCCAGAGCCAAGCCCTTTCTGCGGTACATGGATACTACTGAGATTTAAAAGCATTTCAGCACACCAAGTAGTAGTAAGTTAAGAAAACAAAGCAAATTATTACTTGCTATTTGTTATAAAAACAAAGCATATTATTTTAGAGTTCCTTAAACCAAGCTGATAGTGTAGTTTAGTCTATGGATATGTTTTTTTTTTTTTTTTTTTTGTTATACTCTTTCCCCCTTTATACCAACTCTACCAGCTTCATTGTTTTCTGTGTCTACTAAACATTTTCAACCTCCTGTGTTGGGATATATGAGATCGACTTTCTGATACCCTCAAGTTCAGATTCATTCCATTCTCTTTGTATACACCACTGCATTCTGTGGAATTTTTGCATTGCTGATTCCTTATCAATGAAATAGTAAGAGAATAGAAGGGTTTTGTGAGAACTGAAAGCAAGTGGAGCAGTGCCTAATGCCTTAGCCCTCGATTAAATTTCAACTACTACTGCTATCATTACATCCTAACTTTGTCCTTATCACTTGGGAAAAGTACCCTAAAATGTGCTTCTTGTTTGTATAGAGTTTCTTAAGTCGGCCCTCTGTTTTTCAAGCTTTGTCGGTTTACAAATTCTTTTGGATGAATATCTTTTTATTACATCTTAATATGAAATTTAACAGTCTGAATCAGAAAAACACTGGCAAGATATTTGGATCTGTTACTAGTGATAATGATGGTTTTGTATTGCTAGGGAATCTTTTCTCTTCAAGATCATTAATAAGCTTATGCTTTTTAAATGTGAAGTCACTGATCCTCAACACACTTGAGTTATTCCTGTTTTCCTCAAACTTCATCAAACCAATGAAGTGTAGGGATTAAAGCAATGCCTTCTATTTATATTAATCTCTTTTCCCCATAATATCCTTGGGGTAAGAAAATTATAGTTCAAGGGGTTGAAGTGGGACTTTTCTGTAGGAAAGTGGAGGCAGACCAACTCAGGAAGTGGGAATCCCTGTCATGTGAGTCTAATATATTTATCAGTTTTATTACTGAAAAAGTTGCCAAGAAGACCTGATCAGAACAGCAAACCTAAAACAGATGTAAACCAGCCAAATGTAGATGGTCATAGAATCAAACCTCTTCAGCATCTCCTTTCTTTCTCTTCCTGTCTTAAAAGTCATTTGCTCGACTCCAGAAAAGCACCTGCCTAGAACCTTCCAAAGTCACTATCAGCATGTTCTCCACCCAGCATTAAACTTTTGTCTACCAAATGTCATGCAATTAATCTGAGGAAACAAAAATTTAATTCTGTAAGAAAATTAAGTTGTGCTAGGCTCCATTTTGAAACATTTAAATCTATTAAAGATTTGTATTTAAATTATATAATACTCAGAAGTTTAAGTATTTCTGTCCTGATCAAAGTTTGATTGCATAGTATTTTTTTAATTCTCTAGGAATAGGGAACTCTTGTCACCCACTATATATACATCTAGGGGTTCACTTGAGAATTTTTTTTTAAGATTTTATTTATTTATTCATGAGACACACACAGAGAGAGAGAGAGAGAGAGAGAGAGAGGCAGAGACACAGGCAGAAGCAGGCTCCATGCAGGGAGCCCAATGTGGGACTTGATCCAGGGTCTCCAGGATCATGCCCTGGGCTGAAGGAGGTGCTAAACCATTGAGCCACCTGGGCTGCCCAGAGAGAATATTTTATACAAAAGTTTGAGTCCACCTCCTGTGTCAAGATGAATGAGATGTCTGATCTTCCTTACTCCCTCCATGCCCCTGCTTCCATCTTTTCCTCCTCCCTCTCCTTTCTTCTTTTCCTTTTCCCACATTTCCTCCATTTATCCCTTCCTTTTTTGTGCTGTACTCCTTTTCTTCTTCTTCCTTCCCTTTCTTTCTCTCCTCCTTCCCTCTCTCCCTCTTTTTTCCTCTTTGTCTTCTTCCTCCTTTGAGAAGTGGTATGGATTTCAGAGTCAGAATCCATTGTTGAGCACCCAAGAGAATCTGGTACAATTCAGTTATGTGAAGAATATGAAAGAAAAATAATAAGATTCAGATATCAGGGCTAAAATTTATGAGTAAGCTCCTGTTTAATGACACAGGAACTCTCAAAAAAAGTCAACTCTGGCCAAAGCTCTAATCTTCTTTCCTTTCCTTTGAGTATTCATAACTACCAATGGTCTTTTTTTAGAACAAATTTAACCTCAAGTTTGATTTCTCTGTATTCTAATTTGGGTCATAAACCTATTAGGCATTGACTTGCTCTCAAGCAATTATTATTAATTAGTATGTTAACTAGTGCTATCATGCAACAGGCATGATTTCTAGATTTCCTACTATCAGCATGGCAGATTAATTTATTAAATATTCAAAGTATAGTAGTCTATAATTCAGCATTTCCCATATTTTGATAGCCTATAGGTGAGATTCTTTGCCAGAATTGTCTGTAACAATTACAATGAAATTTTAATGTGTTGGATTAGTAATGACATGCCCTAACATAAATGTAGATTAGGGATTTCTTTAACATTCTACAGATTAGATATATTTAATTATTCAAAGATTGAATATCATTTTCACAAATGATCCAAACCCTTGGTTTCTTCCTTTATCGCCCTGTGCTGCTTTGGTTTCTTGGTGCCTTTACTGTTTATGAGCAACAAGAATGAGACCATGTAGCTACCAGTTAACCATTCTTAGGAAAGGAGTGGTACTTGAAATTAAGTTCATTATTATTGTGGCTTTCTATGTTCCTCATGCTCTTTTTTTTTTTTTTTTATAAATTTTTATTTATTTATGATAGTCACACAGAGAGAGAGAGTGAGAGGCAGAGACACAGGCAGAGGGAGAAGCAGGCTCCATGCATCGGGAGCCCGACGTGGGATTCGATCCCGGGTCTCCAGGATCGCGCCCTGGGCCAAAGGCAGGCGCCAAACCGCTGCGCCACCCAGGGATCCCTTCCTCATGCTCTTTAATCTGCATAAAGGAACATCCTCCCAGGAAGAAGCTCAGAGAAAAGAAACTGGATTTAGACTTCTTTGGCTCCTGGTGGTGGTGCACATTTTCTAACGTCCCTCACCCCCAGCTGCATGGTGAGCAGGCTGGTAAGAAACCCACTGAAAGGCTTCGCCTATAGGATCAGGTATGTGCAGGAGGTTTCTGGTTGTTGAGTACACCAAACACACAGCCGATAATGCATGTCACCAGTCTAGGGCAGAGGTTGGGAGCTCAGGGAAGAGGCTGGAGAACTTTCTGCACCTTGAAGGATTTCTGAATTTTGCATGATC